TCTTTGCTTCGCTGCAGGATGGAGGTGGAAGGAAGCTGGACTCTGTTAGTGTTTTTCCACCAACACGACGCTGGAGCCAACTCTCAGCTAGTAAAAAACACGCACTGTTCCTCCTTAAAGCTGCTGGCGTGGAACGAGGAATCAATGCCGGCACAACGGCAAATCATCCCCGTGAGAACAACTGGAGGGAGATTAAAAAGCATTGTTGTGGGGGGAAAAAAAAAAGAGAGAAATCAAGACCGCGACCATGGATCGGTATCAGAAGCAAACATTTATCTGACAACTGCAAGGGACTGAATGGGTTCAGTGAACTAATCCTAACACACTGCAATGTTGTCACTGCACTAAATGAATATGTGCTAATATTTAGCTGTAATGTTATTGTGTTTACTTGACAACATGTCGCACTTTCCTTATCAGCTGTTACTGTTTTACTCGACCAGATGGTAATGGAAACCTGCCTCAGTGCGCAGCATGTAAGGAAGTGAGGTTTACATAAGCACCATCAATTCCTTACTTTTAAGTTGTTTTTTTTATTATTATTTTGCTCATTTACATTGTTTTTATAATAGAATTTAAAATCGTGCACTAACACACACACGGTGTCGAGAGTTTGTACAGAATGGTGCGAAAAACAAAAAACGGCGTGCAAGGTCAAAGGAGAATAAGGAGACTGGCTCGAGCTGACAGGAAGTCGACAAGAACTGAAAACCACTCTTTACGACCGAAAAGCATCTCGGGTGCATTGAAATGTGAAGCAGATGGGCTACGAGAGCACCAGACCACATCAGGTTTCACTCCTGTCAGCCAAGAACAGGAATCTAACTACTAATGGACAGCTAAAATCTTCTCTCGTCTTTTTTACAATCGTCACTTGTCCAGTTTTGGTAAACCGGATGGTGGGATAACGGGGAAAAAGTTTCATTAGCTATTTGAAAGTTCAGAGCTAATTCTGATGTCTCATTAGAATAATGCTGTTGCTGACTGTAAAGTTCTGAAGAGCCTTCAGTTAAAACCAAGCAGATTTATATTTATATACACACACACACACACACACACACACACGCATATATCTCGACACAATCTAAAATACTTAAAATATACTTCTACTTAAACTGAATAAAAACATGGCGTTTTTGATCGCTTGATCCTTTTCACCCAAGCGTACAGTTTCCTGTGTGTACTGAATCAACACCATTTTAATCACTGTAAACTGAACGAGGTGAAAAATGCATGAAGACACTTTCATCTTGCTACGCACACACACACACACACACACACACACACACCCTGGTCCTTTGGGTTATGCTAAACCCTTAACAAATAGATGACAAACGAGGAAGCATGTGTATAGTACAAATCTTATCTGCTTGTCTTACTGATCATAACGCTCTGTAGTGATCTTTCTGTTGCAGGCTAAACAAACACCTCCTACACACACACTTTTTACACACACTCCTATGATTACTGTAACTAATTCTTGTGACGCCTACACCCAAACCACACCCAGACCTTCACCTGAGTAACCAAAAAGAAATAGTTTGTCTCTTCTGTTTTAGTGAAATATTTTTTTATAATTATTTATTATTATTATTATGAGGAATATGATGAGGACCTTTAAACTTTTTTAAAAATACGTCCTCTACACACACACACACACACACACTTTCTTTCTCATAATACAAAACTTTGAGATGTACTTTTAACACACTTTGTCCTGTGTATGCACAATGCAAGGCTCTAACCACAGTAAATTAAATATTAAAAATAAACAAAACAAAACAAAAAAACCTCAGCGTGATCGTCAGACCCGAACAGATGATGAGGAAAGGAGGAGTGTGTGTTGTGTTTGTAGCTTATCATATCACACCCAGGTCTCATCAAACTGAACCTGCGCTCCTCTGGAAGATTCCCTTCACAAGGTTAAATCACTCAAGGTGTGTTCACCTTTCAGTGTGTGTGTGTGTGTGTGTGTGAGGGAGAGAGATAATGAGCATGTAGGTTTTGTTTACTCTGTCAAGCCCCCGAGATGAAAGTAAAAGCCCGGTCTGAAACGCACACAATGTCCACAAGGTCCTTCTAACTCTAAACGCTGCACTGGAGCTACGAATCTAATGTAGCAAACATGATCAAGAGAAGATTACAGCCTGCAGTTTAGCATCGTTCAAGCTGCATGGCTAAATACTCACGCGGCTAACACTTCTCGTCTGATCGACTCTCAAGGTGAGACGGAAACTCATGCGTGTTTTATTTGTGGCTGAAAATGACTACGTTTACCAGAGAGAGGGAGAGTTTTAACTGAAAAGGACTGAAAAGCAAATTACAGGTTTGCTTCTTTCCTTTGAAAAACACACAGTTACGCCTAGAGAATAATCGAGACAATTTTCAGGTCAATTCGCCCCCTCCTGATTCCCGAGGACCGCAAGACATGTCCAATCTTCTCAGATTATCACTTGGGCGTGAGGTGAAATCCAATTGTAAACCCCTCCAATATTTACAACTGTAGTGTGGGGGAAGTGACACGCACACACACCCCAACTATCTCGTAAAAACTAAATTTTGACGTTGGGTGAAAGACGTGTCTTCATTTTTATTTGTTCTGACAATCGACTGCACGAATACACACGACTACATCTTCAACAAGCAGCACTGCAGTGCAGAGGACTTTCCCGTAGCTATGTTAGCTAGCTATGTTACAGGATGGCAAGCATTGCTTACATTAGCAAAAAAAACAAACAAACAAAAAACTAATGCTAGTTAGATGAAAATGACAACCTCCCTGTAATGAGAGTTGTTTCTCCAGTGCAGGGCAAGAGGGGAGGGGCTGTGTATTCATATAAGAAAATAAGAACTCGTTAAGTTCTCTGCCATGCATAAGGATCACGGTGTGTTTTATCGACTTTTTCTCCCAGTATGGTTTAATCTCTTCTGAAAGTGAGCAATCTGTCACCTCACGTTCTTCAGGTTCACCCCAACCCGGTGAGGACAATGGACTCAAGCCTAACTTTACCAGGACCTTTAGCCTTTTAGGTCCTCACAAAGTGCTAAAAACATGCACACACACACACACACACACACACACACAAACATACTTTCGCAAAATACAGTCTTTTAGGTGTTACAGCGGAGTCAGAATTTATATCTGAAATCACTTTACTGAAACACGAGGATAGCTGACGAGACCTGAGCGTAGTCAAAGTCCCAGGTTCTGAGACTCGGGATCACTGATCAGGACTGTTTGATTCAACGCAGGACGTAAACAAAGGTTATTACATATAGGTGAAGTATCACAAGTATCTCGCTGGATAGCCATGTATACATCCTGTATAAAAGTGTGGGCCAGACGTTCCACATGGGAGCGACTTTATCTCACGAGCACCAACGTTTAACGAATAGGAACAGAACCCACTGAAAAGCAGTGAATGGAATAAACAATGGCCCGGCCATCTGACGTGACGGCTGGGAGATGAAAGAGCAGGAGCGTTACAGCACGCTCTCGCTGTGTGTTTGCTGAAGGATCGGCTTCTCAGAAGTGAGCGCGGCTTTAACGAAGAGCAGATGGAGGAACGGCGCTGTGTGGTGTACGTTAACGCATTAAAGCAAACATCACAGAGAAAGCTGGAATCACTCAGCGCTACTTTGAGAGGGAAACGCTACCTGAGTCGATTTATTAGAGCTGTGTAATTAGCCGTATGGTAGTTGGGACTGTGATTTTTTCAGCTTTCAGTCTTCAGCACAGAGCATATTGTGCTTTGCGCATTAAATGAAGCTCGCAGAAGTTCCATTTAAAGAACATTAAATGTAAATATAAAGAGATAAAAAGTATAGCTTTGTCCAGTTTTAAATAGAAAAAAATCTAAGTGTTAGGAAATAAAACACTTTGGCATGTGGCATTAAAAAATAATCACCTCTGAGGTGGTAAGAGTAACTTCATGTCAGACCATCATACCAACACAATCACTGATTATTTTCCTCTAACTGCACACCACCAGAGTGCTTTCGACTCTGACGTGAATCTGTCTGGCTGCTTAATGTTATAGCACAAGTTATAATAATTGTGATTATTATTATATTTTGCCATTTTTCCGCAGCCACACTGGTAAGAAATTACCTGAAATTAATTACTTACTTCAGATTTTTAATTCTAGAAAATAAATCTCGCAATTGACATTGCAATAAATGTGAAGATTGATAGCTAAATATTTGCTCCGTCCATCTATTGATGGTCTTCTAACAGCTCAAATCTGCACAAATCTATATTTATCCAATCTATATGGATGTAATATAAAAGAATAATCACATGACTGACCTAAAGAAGTCCAGATAAATATTTGAAAATACTTTTTTTTTTATTAAGCTGTCAATACTTTTGAGGCATCATCCAAAATAAATAAATAAATAAATAACAAAAAAAAAACAAAAAAAAACCCTGAGATTCAAAGGGTCTGCAATTCGCAAAAAAACGCAGCACACTGGAAAAAAGTTCAAAAGCCCCAAGTTCAAAGAATACGACCGCAACTCTGACAGCCACTGTGCGGTTTTTAAAGAGACGCGTTTGAAGGTAAGGAAGCAGCGTCTCATCTCTGTCTGTGTGAACATTGGATATGACAGCAAAGCAAGTCTGGGAGTCCATGAAACACACACACACACACACACACACACACACACACACACACACACCTGACCTCAGTGCAGTCGTGCAGCGCTGCTCATGCACACGCGTTTACACGCTGTGTCTAGATTCACGGATATATAATCCAAATGAATTCCTTCTTATCTGAATATCTAATAACACCTGGAGCTTCTTATAACCCTCAAGTTTCAGTACAGTTTAATGACTACTATCACAAAGACCAAACAAAATCAAACGTAAAATAGAGAGAGCTAAACCTTTTGGATCTTAAAGCGACGACTTAATGAGCGCTTTGCTGTTAATGAGCGAGTTGTTAAGTCTATAGGCAAATGACTCAGTGCAAGTTTTTACTGTGAAATATAAATATGGCAGTGGGGCCTGAACGGTTAAGGCTCTGGGATACTGATCAAAAGGTCGGGGGTTCAAGCCCCAGCGCTGTCAAGCTGCTGCTGTTAAGCACTTGAGCAAGGCCCTTAACCGCATCTGCTCCAGGGGTGCCCTGTCATGCCTAACCCTGCGCTCTGACCCCAGCTTCCTAGCAAGCTGGGATATGCAAAAAAAAAAAAAAAAAAAACCAAAAAACCCTGCATTTCATTGGCTCTGTACAATGACAATAAATCTAAATATAATCTAAAAAAAATTCCCATTCACTCATATGTATACCTTGATTAGATTTTATAAGTTTAGAATAATTAAAATGAGATCATTTAAACAAAAATGCCAAAATGTACAGGGTTAGAAAACTCACGACAGCTATTGTGTAGCTAGATACACTCCTATAGGAAAGCACAGAAATACCTAACCACCTGCTCATTCATGCAGTTATCCAGTCAGCCAATCACGTGTCAGCAGCACAACGTATAAAGTCATGCAGAAGCAGGTCAACAGCTCCAGGTAATGCTCACATGCGACAGTAGAACGATGCAAAAAAAAAAAAAAAAGAAAAAAAAAGGTTGCGATCTCAGTAACCGTGGCACGGTTGCTGGCGAGTATTTCACAGACTGCTGATCTCCTGGGAATTTCACCCATTACAGTCTCTAGAGTTTACACAGAATGGTGCAAAAGACAAAAAACATTCAGTGAACTTGTTGATGAGGGAGGACAGAGGAGGGGTGGAACTGGGTGGAGCTGACAGGAAGGCTACGGTAACTCAAATAACCACTCTTTACAACCGTTGCGAGCAGAAAAGCATCTCACAAGACATCGGACTTCGGGCCAAGAACAGAACTCTGAGGCTAATTTTATTTATTTTTTTTACAATATATATAACAGTATAAGGTATATATACACAGTATAAGGTATATATACACAGTATACGTTTATACGCTCACACCGTATACTAACTTTCAGCTTTCTAGTACACACCCACCTTCAAACCTTGAGAGAGAGGGCCTAATAATGTACATTATGATATAATATAATATAATATAATATAATATAATAGGCTTAACGCAGTAACACTATATTGCAACCATTTGCAAAATTGGATTTTTATGACAAACTACAGCCGCACCTGAGCTGAAACGTGTTTGTTTGTTTGACTGTGTGCATTAGAGATTATTGCCATAGCAGCTTCAATGGCTATTTCATAGCAAATGCAGGTATTAATCAAACATTCAGTAAAATTCAGCTTAAAAAGTCAGACATTTCTGTACAACATGACGACTCTACACAAGATTCTTTAAATGTACTTCTCCTCAGTCCATCTTACAAAATAAGTCTTTCAAAGTTTGTCCTGATAAAAGTCTCATGACATTAAAGAGAGCTGAAATATGAAGCTGAATTAGAGTGAATTTAACGTACAGCGTTATAAAAGTGCTGACGCGATACAGAGCATTAACATAAAAAAAAAACAGAAAAGATTGCATGTGGGACATTTTTCCTGAGAATGTGCACCATCCAGGTGCTGAAAAGTTCAACAATGAATATTAATGAAGACATAATGAGCATCAGGGAAAGGGGGGGGGGGGGGGGGGGGGGGGGGGGGGGGGGGGGGGGGGGGGGGGGCAATGTTGATGAGTATTAGAGTGAAATTAGGACACTGTATGTTAGTCAGGGAGATGAAATGATGTAGACTTTCCTAAACACAACTCCAGAATGGGTGTGAACTGAAACACAAAGCTGGCATTACGACACACTGCCACCTACTGACTGTACACTGGACATACACTTGGCTACAGAGGCGCAGGAGTGATGTGCAGCATGACCTTACAATAAGCATACACCAGTGACTATTTTATAAAGAATAGTTCTGAGAAAAGGAAAGTGTCCTTACCTTCATGAAGCAAAGCCAGCGCAGGCAGAAAGGATGACATGAAAAAGGAAAAGAGAAAAAAAAGAGTCAGAATCTTGTTTATGAGCTTCACAAGATGTTAAGGAGCAATTTATTATTGAACACTGAGACTATGAGAGATTTGTTTCAGGTGTGTAGAAGGGCTTAAAAAAAAAAAAAGAGCACATCATGTTTATTAATATTTTCAAATCATCAAATTTCCATTACATTTATGATCATGATTCTGTTGAAAAATGAAAAATAATAAAATGTATATGTATATACCTGGTTGCTTTGAGACACAGCTGGTGTATAGTTTTAAACATTTATGAAACAATAATGAATTATAAAATGATAGAAATGCCTTTCAGATCCACCCATAAAATAATACATAAAAACAAAACAAAAAAAAACAAAAAACAAAAAAAAACAAAAAACAAAAAAACTCTGTCCTTATGCTGCCTTCTGAATAATTTGGGAGCCCAACAACGCGCCGTAGCTAGGAACCCTCCATTTAATACAGAATATTTTGAAGCGTGTGCCAAATATCACGGTCACACTGATATCAGTGCGTTTCAGCATCTTAAGAAAACTATTTTTTGAGATAAGAGATTGCTATGACGTATTTGTGATTATTCATGGCATTATGCTGTTAATGATCAATAATTATCAGCTTGTTAATCAATGACAGGGTAAACAGCCAGCAGCTATGTCACGGCTTTTTGGGTAATGACAGTGGGATATAGGCTCTGTGTGTGTGTATGTGTGTGTGTGTGTGTGTGTGTGTGTGTGTGTGTGTGTGTGTGAGAGAGAGAAGTGTTTCCAGGCACGCAGCCGCTCCACTCGAGCGTGAACACTCGATGAAACTCTGAAAGGAACGTAATTAGCAAACCAAAACAGAAACAAGAGGGGTTTTTGGCATATGCTATTCATGCAAATGTACACAACACTCCGTGTGTGTGTGTGTGTGTGTGTGTGTGTGTGTGTGTGTGTGTGTGTGTGTGTGTGTGTGTGT